ATGTATATTTATACATCATTAAGGAATCTAGTATATATCTCTAAGAAGGATCTGCTTAACACAGAGTTTTTGTATAGAAATATTTTCGATTTTCCCAAATACATTCACCAAATTATTTTACTCGCATATCTGCAAGCTCGGAATCTATATTATATATCCATTCATTATTGTTTTCCATATTGGGGCACACCTGGGGCTGACATTCTCTCTCAAACCATTATGAACTACTCCATACTCATTCTCTCTCTATAAGGCGAGCACTCCTCTTGTGCTGTCAAAAATTACCCGACTGTCGCCGACTGTCCGCTCAGGAGAGTTTTCAATGTAATAAGAATATAAAAGAAATGTGCTATAACTATGTGACTTTGGTTGCAAATAATATTGCAGCTTCAACTATGGACTTTTTGATGCTAAATAAATAAAATCAAATTTAAATGTTTTTGTTACAATTAAACAATTTGGCGAAATGATGAGTCAGCCCACGAAAGCTGTTCGTTAGTAAAGATTTCACTGTAAATTATTCAAATTATCAAGCAATATTATTAGTAATTTTGCATATAGTTATTATCAGAGGATAGCTAAGCATAGGACTTTACAATTATTGTTTATTTATTGAAAAATATTTCTTTTAGTTCATACTTTAAGTCCAATTACAGTCAGGCAGACACACTCTCACACACACCCGCACACAAATCTTGAATCTTTCTTAGTTTCCATCAAATCGGATTAAAGTAACCACACAGTGGGCCCCACATTTTGCATCTCCGTTTAGCCACAAATCGAAGGCCAGCACAAATTCAAAGCAAATGCTGAGAGTGGAAATATAACCGCAAAATGATTTCCCTGCCCGTTGGCTATTTGGTGAGTCTGCGAGGCATGGGAAAATCAATGTGCATTTCTTGGCCAGGAAAATGCACGTCTGGCCCGGCGGCTGCAGTTGGGCAACGAAAAACAACAACAATACCTACGAGGAACAACAACAATGTGCCACATAGATGGATCTACATGGACATGGACATGCACCATAAGTCATCGGCATTGATAGCCATCAATCGCGGGCCGTTTTTCCAACATTTTCTTAGCGCGAAGTGTAACTACAATTAGTCGGGTGCTGGGGCTGCGGCCACAGATTTGTTGCCTCTTGGCCGGCACACATATGAAAATCTTTTGGGGCTCGTTACTCCAACGCATTTTCCATAACTTGGTCATTTTTCTTAGACACTGCACATGGCGGCTGCCAAGGTAACCACAGACACAGCTTCAGCTTAAGCTGCCCAGTCTCCACAGTCTGACTCTCTGCCCCTCTGTTCGTGCTTGTACGTCACTTTGTCAGTTTGTCAGTTTGGGTCTTGTGGCCTCGTTTGGTACCGTCGCGTACCGTCTGGGCTGAGAAGTCTGCTGCGGCTCGTTGAACCTTTTTAACCGTTGCTTGGTCAAGAGTTGTTAACCATATTAAAGTGTTCAATGATTAATTACACGCGTCCAAGATTAATTGAAATCAATCAAAGCTGAAGTTAACTAATGGCAACACGTTTGTAATCTACGTTTGCCCGGTGTGCCAGCCCCCCGCCCTCTCATCCTCATCCAGCTTCTACACGAACCATGCTCATGTGTGCACGCCTGGAATTTCTTATAAGACTCCTACTCCTGTCCCACACATTCGTTTCATGCTCATTTTATTAGATTTAGTTTCTTCTTTCTCTCTCCCTCTCTATCTCTCGGTGTCCCTTTGTTTCTCTTTTAGTTTGATTCCCAAACATAATTACAATTAGAGGTCTGTGGGTTAGGCATCTAGTAGCTATGGGCTCGAGTTAGGAGCTGGGCTAGTTTCTATTTTTCTTTTCAGCAAAAAGTAAAAGTACCTCTTAGAAAACTGCAGAAAATTTTAAAATGTCTTTTCCTTGAATAAAATGGAAGCCGTTTTTGAATATATAAATTAAATTTTAAAATAACTTGATGATTATTAAAAGTTTTAACAGTAAATTATGCTATGAATTACTTGGCTATCATAAGTACGTGTTCAAAAAAGTTAGCAATAAATCGGTTATGTTTTTAAAATATATTTTACTTAAAAATTATTTAACGCTTTTGTTTATCCTGCTAACTGACTTACTGAACTACATTTTTTGAACTAAAACAAAACATGGTTTAGTTAGGGTATCGTTTCAGCTATTTTTTGGGCAATTGGTTTGATAGAGTTTTCTGTTGATATTAAATAATATATATGAACTCCGAATTGGAAGTAGTGGGCTCGGTTGTGCGGCCTTTATTCTCTGTTCTCATCAAAAAAACACAGCGCTATTAGATAGACTATACATATATATATCTAGGGGTTCTCTGCAAGTATTTAAAGTTAATCGGTTTTAAATTAGTTTGCAGCTTCGATCTTAATATAATCTTAATCCAATTCTATCTGATTTTATCCGCATTACTTTAAGCCGAAGTTCTATCAGTAGTTGGTGCGTTTTATTTGGCATTCATTTTACTCATCCTTGCACAAAATATATATAAAATATTAATTAAAGATATGTATTTTTATTAAACCACAAAAAAAGGAAGCCACAATGTAACACGTGTTCCACAGAAACACACACAAATGTAAACTGTAAAATCGTGCACTAATTAAATTTAAAATTTGGGGCTTAATCATGTGACGCACACAGAGAGATAGATACAATCGGCTGAAGGTACGGCAATATCAATTGGCTGACAGTATGCTAAATTATGGATTATGCCCCTGGGGCGAGGACAATCCGCATATCGGTTACCATGTGCCCGCACGGCGCACGTGTCCTGCTTGTCCTGTATGTGGCAAAACATAACCGATTCGCTTCCTTCCGGCAACACACCTCGTCACAAAAGCGCCGCAAATGAGCGAAAGACGAGCGAGAGCAGGCGGTGAACACGTTAAGCCCCATCTCTAGCTTTGACTCTTACTCTGCCGCAAACCCACATGTGGTTAATTATAATTACGCAATTTTAATATCAAAACATGCTCGGCACGAAAGTCAGTTTGTGGCCCGGTCCCGGTCTCGGGTTCGGGTTCGAGTTCGAGTTCAGCTCGAGGTCCTGGACAACCTACCTTTAACTAACTGTGGGGGTTGTTGGTGCTGGCGTTGAAAAGGCGCAAAATGATGAATGAAATACGACGATTTTCAATGACAACAAGCCACCCCCGTTGGGCATGAAACTCGACAGGTTCGAGTCCAGAACGAACCCTCGTCCTGGTCACACCTCACACCAGCAGCACGCACACTTTGAGCTTTGATTGAGCATATCCGGTGGGATTAATGCGGGGGTTGGATGGGATGTTTTGCGGTTATTTATGCCCACAAGTCAGTTTGTTTCAGCGGCTCGCCTCGTCCAGCCAACCGCAAAATATTAGCTTTTATGATATTGATAGAAGCCGATGTCTATTGACAATTAAACAATAGCCCGAAACAGTCAAGCCAGGGGGCGGAACTGTTGCCACAACAAGCCACGGATATGAATTTGAATATGTTTACGCATACGAATAAGAATACGAGTACGAATACGAATACGAGCACCCATATGCCCCACAGGGATAACCATCTGAATTGGCGCAAAATTAATATGCGTGCTTGGTTTGGGTAGCGGTTTCCAGAAGGGGCGAGAGCAGAATTTTATTTGCGTTGATTTTTATGTTTATTAGCAGGATTAATACATCATTAATCTAATCAGCAGATATTTGGTTCAATTTGTGAGTTCGGGTTTTATTGCGTGCTTAACGCATATGCCGCAAATTTAATTGTCAGTCTGTGTCTATTTGTGTGTAGCAGACTGTCAGTACTTGGTCTATTGTGGATGTAATCAGACGCTGGGCGCAACTAATTGATATATTAAAAAGAGAAAAGGAAAGCTATTGGAAAGTGAATGATTTTAAAATTAAACTTTCTGTTAGTTTAAAGGTAGTTACTCTCTCTCTCTCTCTCTATTCCGCGCTCTATCTCCCTCTTTCTATGCTTAGCTTGGTATCATTGAGTAATAAATATCTGTTTATTACTCTATGGCTTGAGCTTTAAGCTTTTACATACTTTAAGCTCTTCTTATGCTTATCAAGCTTACTTGAATGTAGACTGTATAGGCTATATGATCATATAAGTAAAGCTAGGGTATATGAAAAACTAAAAGCTTTTATTATATGCCTTTACACATCTGTAATGAATTTATAGCCATGAATAGGCTTAGATTATAAGAATAGGCATTAGAATATAAGGAATACGTATGTGCGGGTCACATGAGTCCACCTCAAAGGTAATTTATGCGGAACGCGCTGTTTACTTGAAGAAACAAACAAATTAATTTAAATACGTATTTTGTTTAACGGGCGGGAAAACAACACGCAGTTGCTGGCAGAGCATCAAAAAAAAAAAAAAAAAACAAACAAACAAAGGTGACAGACGGAAAGAGAGAGTGGTAGAGAGAGCGGGAGAGAGAGTAGGCACACAAAGGTCATCTAATAAAAATTCGAATGATAATAATTATGGCAATTGTACGTGATAATTGCAGCAAGACATAGGCACACCCACACACACACACACACTCGAACACCACTCTGTGATGCGTCGCTGGATGATGCTCTGACGTGTCTCCAAAAACCAAAAGTAGAAACAGCCGCCAACTCGTGACAGCTCTGGAACATAAACAAACAGACGGCCCAGGCACACACGAAAATCAACTAATTAGTAGGTTGCTGGTCATGGACGGCGGGGAGTTGGGGTGACTGCAGGCAAAGATTAATAAATAAATGGAGATTTGCTGTTATTTATTTTTAAAACACATATCCCGAGCAGACAGCGTCGCGGCAACAGGCACGCACAACCTAAACCGGGTCAACACATTGCCATGGGCGAGGTCAAGTTCTGCTCTCCATGTGTGGAATTTCACTTTTAAGAACTCGAATACGGAAAAGCACTAATCTAATTAGCAGTATATTTTGTTGGGGGCCAAAATCAAAGGGAATAAAAAATACTTTCAGCTACTTTCAGTCTTATTTATTACACATTTTAGCCATAGAAACCAAAGCCAGGACGTCCAAAGCCGCCGCCGTAGCCGCCATAGCCGCCATAACCGCCGCGGTAATGATGATGTCCATAGCCGCCATAGCCGCCGCCAAAACCGCCATAGGGTCCTCCAAAGCCGCCGCCGTAGGGTCCGCCAAAGCCGCCGCCAAAGGGTCCACCAAAGCCAAACTGACGCTTGGTGCGCACCTGCTCCTCAGCCTGCTCCTGGGCATAAGCCAGGGATAGCAGAACACCCAGAATCACGGCGAATAAGATTGCGGCACGCATTCTGAACTTATTTATTATTGTTTTTTGCTTGTGTTTTTGTCAAATTGAGAAATCGAACTGTGTGCGGCTGTTGGCCAAGAATTCGCTTTTATAGGCATCGCTCCTATCGTTTATCGCCTCGATATTAATGAAATTCAAGAACAATCTAAGCAGAATTCCCCCCATATGTTTACCCAAAAATCAAAAGATAGAAACTCGTTTTTTACTCAGCTCAAAAACAAAAACACAATTTGGCCGGCCACTTAATCTTCGCTAACCGCAAAATTTTGTTCTTTTTTCAATGTGAATTTAGATTTGACAGGCTTTGTGACGAAATAGATGAGTCTATAAAAAACGGGTTCCGAACCTATTTTTCTGTTTGTCCCAAGACAGCGCCCAAAAAGTCAATGAGCTGATAGTTTATATGCGATCTCTTTTCTGTTTATGCAAATTACTTTAAAATCTATATCAAATGCCTTCTCGTGGGAGATATATATTTATATTAATTTGGGGACTTTTTGCGGGTATTTTGAGGTTGTCAGTACGCATAAAATATATATTTTAATTAAATATTCTCGCTTATGGTTATGTAACTTATGAAATATGCGGTTCTGATATCATGGAGTTAATTATATGCCAAGAGTTTCCTGCGAGTTACAAACTGGTTGCCAGAATTTTGATTTGCTTTAATGCAAATCAGTTAGAAAATCATTCGAAAATGTATTTAACTAAGACATTGATTAGCGCCATATAAATTATATTCCATTTCCAAAAGTTATAAGCAAATTTCATTTGCACAATTTATACAAATTTAGCAGTCAGCAAGAAAACAAATTCAGAGTATTTCATATGGAAATTTTATACAGTTTTGACATAGTTTGACTTGGGTTAGTTGGGATAAAGTGTGTGCTATAAGACATAGAAAGTTGGGGCCAATATTTTACTCTTAATGGAATTTTCGAAATTTTAATTTTCAAAATATTATTAAAAATGTTATATAACTAAATAATAAGCAAAATATTTTTATTTTAACTTTAATTAAAATTTTAATAATTTAAAAAAAAATTTTCGTAATTCGTACAGTTTGTAGATGGGAAAGAGCATTTGCTGGAGATTGTATAGTTTTTCATAACAAGACATTTAGCCTAGCGCCAACGTGCTATTAACAAAAAGCAAACAGGTGTGAAAGATTTGTGTTGTTGTAAGATCTGGCGCTCTTTTATTACCTTTATTATTTGTTGATCATAGAAAAAGGCAATACGGCGTATTCGATGCGGAAGCTGGATGATTGTTGTGTTTGGGTTAAAAACAAATACATGTTTATCGCTGGAAATGCCCAGAATGATCAATGATTGGACGCTAAGCACAAGCATATTAAATAACCACATGGATAGAAAACAAAGATCAATAAAAAAAGCTGTTGCTGTCCATTTTGATGTGCTTTGATCTTTATATGCTGCGCTTATGTTTGTGATTTTTTTTATTTTTATTTTTATTTTTATTTTATTTCTGCTTCTGATATGTGAGTCGGCAAATAAAACTTCGAGCTTGTGGTACAGATGAATTCGCGCCATAAATCAGCAAAGTTGGCGCTGCGCAGCGGAAGCATCGATCGATTCTGTTGTCAACGAAGCGACAGAGCAGATCATCCTCATGATTCCTCTGATCATTATTACGATCGTGTTCATTAACATTATCAATGTCTGGCTGTGTGGTTGTGTGGTGCTCTGATTTTCAGGTTCCACCCAGTTGCACATGTGCTTCGCAGACTTTCAGTTCGACAAAGCATTTTCTTCTGGCAAGTTTTCACTTCGATTTTCAATATGTGTCGTTGCGTTATTGTTGTGTGTGGCAGTGTGTGTGCTGTCATGTGATTTAAGGGTACCCGTAAATCACGACGCTTGTCTAATTTCGTCTCGCTTGAGATTCCCCGCATTCTTGCCAGCTCAATGGAATTATTTCTTCATTTCGAGCCTGTCAAGTGCCTCCAGCACTCTGTCCCACATTTTCGCACATGATCGCCACAATTCCTCTCGCTCTCTCTCTCTCTCTCGCACTCTCTTTCTCCGTCTGTCTCTATACACTTATCGATGCAGCTTGGCTTTTGCGCAGCATTTATCGCATCTTTATCTGTCGACTGTATTTTGTATCTGTATCTGTATCTGTCTGCTGCATTTGCTGTATCTGTAACTGTGTCTGCGCCAACTGATCGTACAACTTGTATGTAACTCACTTTGCATGCTCAAAACTCCAACCCGAATTCGCCTCCCCCTGTCAACATATTTGCCACTGTTGTGCCTTGGCTGCGCGTCTACGCGATCTGCCAGCGATCGGTGATTTGTGTTGCCGATCCTCGATCGACCATAACATTTACAGACATGTCAGCCAGTTGAACACACATTCGCACACACACTCGCCCAAACTAAGAGTTGCTTTCGTTGTCTTGTTGAAACCACCAAACGATCGCTTGTTGATCATGGTGCTGCTGACAGAGCTACCTACTTGTTTAGACAAGTTCTTCAACAACTACGACATTTGCGCAGCGTAGGAACGAAAAGTGAAAGTTTAAGGCATGACTAGTTCCACAAATGAATCAGAGTTTAATTCACTCATGATTAAATCATCTTAGACAATAATAACTTAAGAATATAAAATTAATTAAATGCATACGTAATTTACTTTTAATCCTTATGAAATCATCAGGGATAAAATATGGCAAACACAAAAAAATCGCTAGACTCTAGCTCTAATAATGAATCTCTATTTCGTATTTTAAGGGAAATGTTGGAAGGTATCCACAAACTGAAATATTCCCAGAGTGAATATACTTTAGGAGAAACTACATAGCAGGTTTGGTATATCTAGCTCATATACCTCGAGCAAAGCTAAAAAAAAATGTATGGATATTCTGGAAGTTTTTCGACCCATGGCACAGAAGAATATATTCGAAATTGTAGGTTTCTAGCTCTTGTAGTTTTTGAGATCGTAAAGATATTTAATCTTATATTTAGTGTTTTCTGGCAATTTCTATTAATATACACAGTCATTCGTTTCTGATATATTGAGACAGAGTCTATAATATCATAAGATAGATATAAGCTATATATTAAATCGATGTCTATTTGTTTAATGTAACTTAACAGACCTCAACTAAACGCTATAAATATGTAACTATTTATTAAAGCAATTTTATGTGAATTATTTAGGATTTAAGCTGCAGACGAGCTGTTAAATTGTGATTATTTTCTATTTGCGAGTGGCGCAAATTGCACACACACAGATACCCACGCACACCTGAACAGTAGGTGGAAATACGAACCTGTCATTATGCTGAAAAGGGCGCTGACAGGTAAAATGTCATATATATGTAACCATTTGGCATGCCATCGAAACAATGGGAGGCACATTAAATCACGCAATGCGCATCAGAAATTGAAGTTTCCAGTTCATATATGGTATATATGGTATATGAGTTCGAGTTTTACTTTTTGTTTATTGGCTCTGTTGAGAGTTAATACGGAAATGTCGCGTGTTTGACAGACATTCAATGGGCTTTAACTAACTTTTATGACACCAATTATTAGATAATATTTAGGCCACATGACATTTCCGACTGTCAGTTGCTAACTAAATTAATTAGTTGCTAACGGAACTAGTTCATGTTCACGCTTGTCAACGTATTCGAACTACACTTTGTAGTTATAGTGTGTGAAATTCAGGAAAATAATCTGATATATTTTTTTTTATTTCCATGCCTTTTGTTCTCTCTTTGCAATTAAGATTTATGCTTATTCGTACCTTTAGGCAAACATTTCGATACGCAAATAAACAAAACTGCGAATCATTTGAATTTCGCTGCCTTTGTTCGTTCGGAAATTTTAATTTTGGGATTTTCATAAGGATTATGGGGTAGATTTTCGCACATGCCTAGGCGCCCTACATATCCGTGCTCTACTTGGTCCTGCAACAATGGATCTGTGTCCCAGACTAGCGCGTAGAGTGTCTGAAGATCTCAGGTAACGCGGCAGATGCAGCTGTACACGAACTGGACTTATTTACCTCTGGTGATTGTACTCAAGATCTGCAAGGATCTTAAATGCATTTTCTGTGATTTTCGTAGCAATTTTGTATTGATTATGTGAATATTTGAGTATCGGCCTTAATATGCAAAACATGTTTGCAATTTTTTAAGTGTGTTTTTTGTGGGGGTTGCAAAATTTGCTATATTTTTTGTTCGCGCAGTCATAATAGGGCGTTACGTGTTGCTAGGAACTGTAGCTGTAGCTGGGGTAGACATAACCTCAATTAGCCGATCTTGACCTTTTGAGTAAGTTTTTTTTAAAAGAGAGAAATCAAAAATGAGCATTCCGGGCTACGAAAATTTATATAAAAGATATTTAAGAAGTGTGCTTTATAATAGAATGAAATTAAAAGAGTTTTTACTTTATTTCAATAGAATATTTATGTGAAGGTTATCCAAGAATATTCATACCTTAGAAAATCTTCCTCAACATTTTTAATTTGGTGTTATAGTTTTTTTTTAATATTTTTATAATTGCATTAAAAATTGAAATAGTTCCATTTCATATATTTTACTATATAATAATAATAATATAATAAAGCCAAATATTATTTTCAAAAATTTGGGAGAGGTAACTTATAACATAAAAATAAATAAAGAAATCCAATAAATATCAAAATAACATTAACAAAAATATTTACAATCTTTAATTTTTTTCGTTACAATTCGAAATGTATTTAAATTTCCTATAAATCTGATAACATTTGCACGTACACCTGGTCTTGGTACTATTAATTTTACCGCCAGAATAAATTGCAATGCTGTCAGCTAAAACAAAACCCCCAAAAATCGTATTCAAATGCCGACTTCACGCCTAATCAGCGTCTAAGACGCTGGACAAAGGCAGCTCTGCATAAATTTTGAAACCCAAAGAAAATAAAGAAGAAGAAGTAGCAGCAGCCGCCAGAATCAGAGCAGTAAATGTGAAAATGTCAGGCATTTATTTTGGGTGAAAACTTACCTTTTTGCACGGCTGCTTGGAAATTACAACTCTGTCAACATTGATCTTTGACCTTTACGCCTGAATAGCCAAATCGGCAGACATGCAAAATAATGCAGAAGAGATTGCAGCCAAAGAAAACGGACCTTAGGGGTGGAACTGGACGAAAGGCGCCCGGGGTCCGTTACTCAGGCTTTACTATAAGAAAGGCAAATAGGAATGCAGATGGAATTTAAAATATTTAAGGGAGTGGTATGCATATAAGCTCAAGTTTTAAAGTATTGTAGTTTCTATCAAGGCTATCTAGACATTAATAACATATTTATTACAATATTCCATCAGCTGGTCGTAAAAATGATATCAAAATGCAATTTTGA